AGAGCAACAGACGATACGTCTTCAAAGAAAGATCATCAGGAAAAACCCAAAACAAAAATGTCAGCATGACTGGCTACTACAAGAATAATCAAGCTGTTCACCAGGAAGCTTTCAAGGCAAGCAATCAAGTTCCTTCAAGTCAAAATCCACTCTAAGACTGAAACTTAAAGGGAACACAAAAACAGGCATGTAAACCTGGTGGCGACCACATTGGTCTACTGGTGAGTGGAAGTGGGGGAATGGCAGCAATAAAGAACTGAGCTAAATTCAACCACAGTCCACTGACCTGAAAATGAGAGAGAGAAAAGGAAGGGCTGGTTGGTTCAAAGTGTGGTGAGACCTGGGGACACTTGAGCCTACGGACAAGGGCATAGCCACAGAGAGCTAGAGCTGAGAGTGAAGCATCCAGCTGATATGAAGTGAGGGGAGATGCACAAGAACACCCAAACTTGCAGACAGTACCCATTTGACCTAGCCTCGATGGCTTGATAATCAGAACTCGACTAGAGGAAGATTACAAAAAAAAATTAATGAATATATTTAATAAAGGAAACAAGGGTAAATTGCTACAATTTAATGAACCTGACTTATACTCACGGAGGTAGTAACTCTAAATACCAATAGAGAGGGAAGAAGTCTTCACATCAAGTATCAATGCTTGATACACAACAAAGGGGATAGCCCCTCTGTACACACGGTAGATAAGGATGGGCAAGTTAAACATTAGCTATCTAAAATGAGGGGGTGATAAAGGCACGAAGTGACTGGCTTATAAGGTTTCAAATGGGAGTTTAGTTTAAGAGTCTGGGAGGAAAGAAAGAGTCACCACTAAATAGTTTTCTTCTTGTCTAACTGGGTCTGGTGAAAAGAGAAGGGGGTAAGAGTCATATGATTCGATAGTGCAATTGTTATCATGACTAATTGCTAATGTCACAATTGTAAAGGTAGAAGTTTTGTAACAATAACAGGGGTGGTTAATCTCACAGTCCAGAAACAGAGGACTCTAGGACCATCAAGGGAGAACAGCACAATCAGATTGCGGGGACCTTATCCAGAGAAGCAGCGATGCCAGAGACTGAGGCACAGATGGGGTCATGGAGAGGGGGAGTGGCTAAGGGCTCTAGAGTCATGGGAAGAGAGGGACTAAGAGCTTGTGGCCAAGAGGCCAACTTGCAGAATGTGCCCTTTGGAGGTGTAAATTATTATATATGCCTGTGTGCTTTTTTTTTTTTTTTAAGCTAAAGTGACTAGAAAGAAATACTGTTAACTCATGATCTGCCCTGTAAACTTTTACTCAATTCGCAATAAAAACCTTAAAAAACCCACTGTCATCAAGTTGCTTCTGATACTGACACATTGTGTTTCTGAGACCATAACCTCTCCTAGAACACACAGTCTCATCTTTCTCCCATGGAGTGGCGGACAGTGTGAATCACCAACCTTACAGTTAGCCGTACGACACTTAACCCACTGTCACCATGGCTCCTTCAGAGGTACTTGTTGTTGATAAGTGCCATTGAGTGGGACTTAATGACCCTGTATAGGGTTTCCATGGAGTGGCTAGTGGGTCTGAGGTAGGTGGTAGATTAAAAAAAACAAAAAAGGTGTAGAAGGTTTTTCAAACTTAATCCAAAACATACAACACATGGCAAACTAAATGTCAGACAAATATTAGCAAAATTTAGATTATATTATAAATATAATTATAAAAAATTATTTTAAAATATTTCGAGTATTTAGATGATTGAATAGCGATAAGGGAAACAATTACTTTAAAACTCTACATAAAGAAAAAATATATAAAAATATTCATGGATAAAAGCATTTTGGTAAAAACAGACATAATGGTAAATACGTCTTCTAATTCAATCATTTAAAAATACTGATATGACAACAAAAGCACAGCAGTAAAAGATACAATAGTTAAATGGAAATGTCATAAAATTAACTATTTTGTTGTTACATGCTATCAGGTCGGTGCTGACTTATAGTGACCTTGTATAGGGTTTCCAAGGAGCAGCTGGTTGGATTGAACTGCCCAACAAAAAGATAACAAAACTTCTACAACTTAATAACAATATGATAATCATATAAGTGATATCATGCTATATTTGTCCTTTTGCAACTGATTTATTTGCTCTGAATGATTTTTGAAGGTTCATTTATGCCTTATGTCGTGACATGCCTCAGGTCTTCATTTCTCTTACTAGTTGAGTAGTATTCCATTGTATATATATATCACATTTTTTTATCTAGTCACCATCACATGAGCAGAGAATTTGAATGTACGTTTCCCAAATGTTGAATGCACAACAAGCACATAAAAAGAAGCTCAATGTCATTGTTGTTGTTAAGTGCCATCGAGTTGATTCCGATCCATAGTGACCCTGTACAGGGTTTCCGAGGAGCAGCTGGTGAGCTTGAACCGTCGATCTTGCAGTTCAAACGGCTTTGCAGTCTGGCGTATTAACCCACAGTGTCACACCAAGACTCCCATGCTCAATGTCATTGTTGTTGTTGTTAAGTGCCGTCAAGTCAATTCTGACCCATAGCGACCCTGTACAAGGTTTCCGAGGGTGTAAATCCTTACGGGAGTAGAAAGCCTCATCTTTCTCCCGCGGAGCGACTGGTAGTTTCGAACCGCTGACCTTAAGGTTCGCAGCCCAATTCGTAACCACTACGCTACCAGAGCTCAATGTCATTAGCCATTCCAAATCAAAACTAACTCCACAGACAACAAGCTAATTTTGGCTCAAAGTGATCCTATAAGACAGAGAATTCCCCAGGGGGATTCCAAGGCTGTAAGTCTTTACAGAAGCATATTGCCACATCTTGCTCCCACAAAGGTTTGAACTTCCAACCTTTTGGTTAGAAGCCAAGCACATTAACCACTATTCCATGAGGGCACCTTCTAAAACCAAACAGAACCCACTGCCATCAGCCATCAAGTCAAATCCTATATGGTGGTGGAGATTTCTAAGGAGTGGCTAGTGGATTTGAACTCCCGACCTATGCTTATCCTACAGCATCATACTAAGATTCTACTAATTTAACAGAGATCATTAAATATTACTTTTTAAAGTTATAAAGTCTATAAAGACTTGCCTGCCCCAATAAAAATCTAAATTCTTATATCTAACACAGCTCTATAATATTCTTTCACTTAGAAAACCCAACAGCTTATTACTAATTTTCACATTTTAGTGCATTTCCTAGCCTTAGATGCAAGCACGCTCAAAAGCCGTCCAAATTACACAAATTTCACTTTTAGTTTTACATTTAAAAATATCTGAAACCCAATATAATTGAGTTCAATTTGCCAAAGCAAATGACCTCTAATAAAGATTTCCTGTGGTGTTAAAATAATCAGTGTTTAAAAGAAAGTTGAAAGAAGAGGAAAAAAATCTGAAGTCATCTATAGTAAAATGGAGAATTCACTTTAAAAATCTAAATTATGTATTAACCATAGTACAAAAGAATTAGCAGGATATATTATTCTTAGCCTCCTCCTATTCATGATCAAATCTGTTTCAATGCAATACTACAAATTAAATTAATAAAGCGATGGACTTCAATTTATTTTACTGTGTCTAAGACTGAAAGAGGAAGAAGCACTTTCCTAACATTCTATCACTAAGTAAAATTAGAAGAGAAACTCCTTTATAACCATGCTTCAAGCATCTCTTTTAGTGCCTTGATAAAAATGTATCATTCAGAAGACATAAGATTCTAAATTCAAGATTCTATTCAGTATGTTTTCAATTTGAATAGAACACAATATGCCTTCCAAGTGTACACTCTTATTAAAGTGAAAATCTTTTATAGTTAAGAAAATCTTCAAGATTAGTCATGTAAAATATTTGTCATCATTACATTTTTATAAAACGAAATTGACACATAACATTCAATCTCCTCAATACTTTAAATCTCTCATTTCTGCCCCACATGACCATTATTATAATATTCCATTCAGCCAAGAGAACATAGAAGACACATCTTTGTAGTTTATCCTGACAAATCAGTGTTCACACACCAACAAAACTATTATTAATGGCTCGGAATCAAACATTGTAACAAAACACATTGAGTGGATCCTCCCAAGTATGTGAACATTCATAATAATGTAACCCTTCTCACACACACACAAACTCATCTTCTATTTAAAACTAAAACATCTCTATAGAATACAGGTTACAATAATATTGCCCTCTTTAATGTTCAGAGAAAGAACAATTTCCAAAGTGAGGGATGAGAAGAGTTGGGTTGCTGCCACCTATCAACTTCAATTCTAAGCAAAGTACAACTAAATGTCATCTTTACCTCTAATGTAGCCAAGGCGATAACAAAATCAGCTTCAAGTAGGTGCTAAAGTATCCTAGGATCCCAATAGATTATTTACTTCTCTGGTTTAAGCAGTACATATGTGTGGAGTCTTTTGTCCCTCCCACGGTATCCCTGGGTGTCAACATCATTTCAGTCAACGCAAATAACAAGCAAATCGCTCAGGTCATTACTTCAGCACCCTAACTACGAGAAAGGCATGGCCTCCCTTGTCGTTACTACACAACAAACAGATTCTATAGTCCCAAGGCCCCTTCTATTTAGCATCTAAGGAAATTGGGGGGTGGGGGTGGGGGGGCTCAGGATTTTGTGAGGATTCTGTGATCAATCCCGGTACCAGAAGCAGCATGAGTACAAGCGATATGTGGGTCACCCACAGAAAGAGAAACAGAACGAAGCTTTGTGACCCTCCAAGTTTTATGAAGACACCAAAAACCTTGCGGAAAGACACCGCAGAAGCCTTCGGGAAACGGAGCAGAACTAGAACGCTGGAAAGTGACTGGGTCTGGCACCAGCCCGGCGTATGGGCAACGTCCGAGGAGTCTCTCGCACCCCTACCCTCCTGACCAGAGTCTGTCAACTTGTAAGGTGTGCGGCCGAAGTGGGGGTCAGGCCTAGGAGAGGGCGGCACCCAGGGGGGCAAGGGGGGCGTGTCCTACCTGGGTCTTGGCGGACGCAGGGATTTCGGGCAGAGGGCTCCGGCTGGCTCACCGCCCGGACCAGTAGGAGTCAGCCCTCAAGAGGCGGAACAGCCGCCGCCTGCCCATCCCCCGACGCCCAACTGCGGCGGGACCCAAGCACGGGTTCGAGGGCCGGCCGATTAAGTGGTCCCCTCGGGTACCGTCCGCGTTTACTAGTGGCGGCGGCAGCTGCTACTATTACTGCCGTTACTGGCCGCCCCCAACTGCTGCTCTTGTATCAGCTCCTGCTCCTCCTTCTGCCACCGCCGCTGCCGCCTCGTCCCCACCGCTCCCATCACCGCTGCGGCGTCTGCTGCAGCGCCCGCTGACCCGACCCGACGTTATTCTCCCCCTTCGCAACCCGGCACAGCCTAGCCCACCTGCCCTGCCAGTGCGAACGCCCACCTCTCTACCACAGATGCTGATTGGAGAACGTGTTGCGAATATGCTGCGTTGGTTGGCTGGTCCCATCGCCTATCAAGAAGGGGGCGGAGATTCGGGCAGAAAGCGTCTCCGCCCTCCCCCCACCCCCACCGGAGAAATGCCGCTATCTTCAGGTTTGCCTGAGAGGACGAGTTACCGGGAAAGGAGCATCATAATGACAGCGCGCATGCGCTTAGGAACTCTGGGCGTTGTAGTTCCACCGCCGCCCGCAACTGCTTGTCTTGTCGGGAAGAGAACAGTGGTTAGCGCATGGGGGATTGGGGAGGGGGTTGTCTCACCTCAGCAGCTGACTTGGTTTTAGAGGAATGGTTGTGACCCCAAGGTTTGCCTTTTAGAAAGAAAATAGAATATTAGCGTAGTGGTTACGAATCGGGCTGTGAACCTCAAGGTGAGCAGTTCGAAACTACCAGCTGTTCCGCGGGAGAAAGATGAGACTTTCTGCTCCCGTAAAGATTTACAGCCTCGGGAACCGACTCCACGGCACATCACCACCGTCACCATCCTAATTTCTTATACTTTGAAAACGAAGGTCCCAAGCATGAGGCCTTAAGGGATCCGTCTTCTCAGAACCAGAGCTGCCCTGCATTTGTCCGATTGGCGCTATGCCGCAAAGCCATCCTCTAACATGAAGTGACTCCCCATTGAGGACAGGGGACACGCCTAAAGGTGTGAAGAGGAAAGGAGACCGAGATCTCCATAAAGGAAAGTCTGGGAGTATCCTTACAGTGTCACAGCCCACAAAGAACGTGGGCTTTTTTTTTTTTTTTTTTTTAATCGCTGCTCAATCAGCAGCCCCCATGCATACTAGTAAGGTATTCTAACCAACAGTATACTGGAGTCCCTCAAAAGAATTTCAGAAAGAGCGAGGATCAGGCGGAGACGTGAAGCCATGTGGGATACATTTGTGCTTGTTGTTAGCCTCATTGGTGACGAGGAAACCTCAAGATTAAAGCCCCTTCCCATCCTTATCCACTAATTTACAGACCAGAACACTGGAAGTTAAACAACTTTACCAAGACTGTAAAACTAATTAGTGGCGGGACCAAAGCTTGGGTTTCTTAAACTTTCCCTGTTCAAGGTCTTTCTATTTAATAATCAGTTACCCCCAGGGTCTGCCACGGACCTAAAGGATTCATTAGAATTTTAAACAAAGTATTTCCCTTTTCACTCAAATAACGTATGATTAAAGCTGATTACGAATATCAAAGGGTTAAATATAAACCCTCTATTCAATCTCAGTTCTATTCTTCTAGATTCTGTTTCTTCTGGTTCAGGATATGCTACAGCCTCTTGACAGTCTTTAAAAAGCATCAGGCGCCTCTCCTGTCTGTCATGTCCAGATCTTTGGATTAAAAGCAGGACAAAATGTACATTAAAGACAATTGATGATGCAGCTCATCTTGTTCTTTTCAAATTGAAAGAAGTTGCCAAATTGTTTTTTGTTGTGTTTTTTTTTCCTACTGATTAAAACCGCAAGTTGCTTTTTCCATTACTTTATCTAACAGCACTTCAGATTATTGGCCCAGCAAGTGATTTAAATTGAAAAGGTTTAGAATTCCTGTAAATATTTTTCTTTAAAATTAAAGGAGTGGGAGAAAAGAGGATATCCAGATTTGTTGAAGCAGAAATAGTATACCTGTCTGAAGAGACTATCTTTCATTCAACAAATACAGTGTGTCCTCTTCAAACTATCTAGATACAATATCCACTATCATGGGGAGGAGTTTAGTAAATTTATTCCCCAATCCACTATTTTGTCCATTTTAAATGAGCCGGTAAATAAGGCTGGATTCTCCAAATGATGAAATGATGATTATTCATCTATTATTTTATGAACAACTCTAAATTGTAAAGAGTCCTGGTGTGGTGCTGTAGGATAAGCACTGGACTGCTAACCAAAAGGTTGGCAGTTCAAACCCACAAGCTGCTCCTCAGAAACCCTTTCCAGGGTTGCAATGAGTTGGAACTGACTCGACAGCATTTTATAACAACAACTAATTTATAAATCCATGAAGGATGGATACTACAAGACTGAGAAAGCAGTCCAATAGTTGTAATCAAGAGTTAAGAAAAAAAGTACAAAGGAAGGCCTTCTATGATGAGTCACCTGAGAAAAGGGTGATAGTGTACCACAGGTAAGATATGTAAGAATGAGTACATCCATTGCCTTCGAGTTGACAGGACAGAGAAGAACTTCTCTATAGAGTTTCCAAGACTGTAATTTTACGGAAGCAAATAGCCTCTTTTTTTTCCCATAAAGTTGTTGGTGGGTTCTAACCGCTGACTTTTTGGTAGCAGTCGACTGTTTAACCACATTACCACCACAGTTCCTTAAAAATGAACTTAGAATTCACAAGAAATACAAGCCATAACACAAATGTTCACCTCAGCACTATTCATTATAGTAAAATGATGGAGACAGCTAAATGCTGATCGATGGAAGAACGGGTAAACAAACTTTGGTGGTACATATACACAATGGGATACTATGTTACCTTAAAGAATACCAATGAAGCTGCGAAACACCTCATAATATGGATGAACCTTAAGGACAATATGCTGAGTGAAATTAGCCAGTCACAAAAGGACAAATATTACATAAGATCATTATTGCAAAAGCTTAAGAAGACATTTCCAATCTAAAAGAAAAATTCTTTGATACTTCCAGGGGTGGGAAGGAGGAACAGTAATTCACATGTTAGAAGATGGACATGTGATAGCTCTGGTGAAAGAGGGCAATATACAAGCATTGGGAAGGCAATACACAAGAAGGAGGAGGATAGATGAACAAGGAAGCTAGGAGAAGGCTTAGGGAGGTATGCAAGGACTAAATGGGATAGAAGTAAATAGTGACATGTACACAGCCTTGGAACAACAGGACTCTGTGACACAGAGATCCACTCATATTTGGAATGGGTGAAGGAGGGGATTATCTTGACTATCTTGTGGGTATTGGTTCCCCATGCCTTCTATGGCAAAATAGACGTTTAAGTATAATAGAAAAGGATGTTGGGAATTGTGTTTACAGAAAGCTTATAACCCTGTCTTCAGCCTATAACTGATAGGATTAACTAAAATGGGAATTAGAATTTGCCCTGTGAAATAGACTTCTTGTTAAGTCTTTGTAGCATATGGAGCCTTAGGTGGAATCCAGAGCCCCACCCAGATTCTGAGGTGGAACATTTCCACTTTAAAAGACCTACAGACCAACATGAATGGGCTAGAGGAACAGAAGATAATTCTTGAAAGACAGACCAGCAAAAAAAAAAAAAAGCAGACTATTTGGCAGTTAGAAAATTAAGCAAGCTGCTTAACATGGAGCCATCAAGGCAAGAAAAGTTAGCCCATCAGGGTAAACTCCCCTCTAAGACTGAAACTCAAAGGGAACACATGAGCAGTCTTATATGCTCACTGGTGACCACCCTGGTCTACTTGTGAGTGGAAGTGGGGGAAATGCAGCAATGAAGAGACAGGCTGAGTTTGGCCATGTTCCATAGACACCCATTGACTTTGAGATAAGACAGAAAAGGAAGGGCTGGCTGGTCTGAAGTTTAGGGAGGCATGTGAACTCCTGAGCCCATTGGCACTGATCTAGCCACTGGGTGCTAGAGCTAAGAGTGAAGCGGCCAGCTGGTCTGAAGTGGGAGGAGGAGTGCAAGAACTTCCAAACTGGCAAAGAGTATCCATCTGAACTAGCTTGGATGACTAGCTGACCAGAACTTGACTAGATAAATATAAAGAAGTTTGATACAGGAAGCAAGTGTATATTGCTACAATTGGATGGACTGGGCCTTTGCTTATGGATAGTTGTTGTTGTTAGGTACCATTGAGTTGGCACTGACTCATAGCGACCTTATGCACAGCAGAATGAAACAATGTCTGATCCTGGGCAACCTCACTACTGTTGCCACACTTGAGTCCATCGATGCTGCCACCTGGCCAATCCATCTCATTGGGGGTCTTCCTCTTTTTCTCTGACCCTCCATCTTAACAAACCTGATATCCTTCTCCAGCAACTGTTCCCTCCTGACAATATGTCCAAAGTATGAGAGATGAAGTTTGGCCATCTTGGCCTCCAAGGAGCACCCTGGCTGTACTTCTTCCAAAACAGATCTATTGGTTCTTTTGGCAGCCCATGGCACTTTTAGTATTCTCCTCCAACACCATAACTCAAAGGCATCAATTCTTCTTCGGTCTTCCTTATTCACTGTCCAGCTTTCACATCCATATGAGGTTATTGAAAATACCGTGGCTTGGGTCAGACACACCTTAGTCCTCAAGCTGACATCTTTGCTCTTCAACACTTTAAAAAGGTCTTGTGCAGCAGATTTGCCTAATGCAGTACATCGTCTGATCTCTTGACTGCTACTTCCGTGAGTGTTTCTTATGGATATAGTGCTCAAAATTCCAACCAAAAGGGAAAGATTCTTCATATCAAGGATCAAGCTTGCCTCTTCAGTACAGCTTCCCAGGCTTACCCCTTTCTCAGGTCTTTTTCCAGGTAATCCCAGTAATTGTTGGTCTGTCCCAAGAGATAATTTATCAGTTATAATAAATGGCAAGGTAATATATTCAGGAGTTAATACCAGAATGCAGGAATCCCCTTTGTTAAATATGTACACACATACATGAACTTTTTGAAGCCCCCTCATGCGTGTGTGTGTGTGTGTACAAAACTCATTGCCAGTGAGTCCATTCCAACTCATAGTAACCCTGTAAGAAAGGGTCTTTTATTTTTTCATCCATTTGTGACCTCCTATACTCATTTTTAGTCACCCATCGATTTACCACATTCTAACCTTCTTCCTCTAATCCAAGTAAAATACTCTAGACAGGTCATTTGCATATTTTTATGAGAAGGATAACACTATACTATGAGTCAATGTGAAACTATTTCCCTCTTTA